TTCCTACTCCTCCTCCTACTACTGCTACTACTCCTCCTCTTCCTCCTCTTCCTCCTCCTCCTCCTCCTCTTCCTCCTCTTCCTCTTCCTACTCCTCCTCCTCCTCCTACTTCTCTTCTTCCTCTTTCTACTTCTCCTCCTCCTCTTTTGATAACTTGCCCCAGACACCTTGCCAGCAATCTTTCTCGCCTGGCATTCGCGCTCGCCATCCATCGGCAAAAGTGATCGACTTGAACCTCTTCCTCGACCCCCTTCCCTACTCCACCTCCCCATCCTCCTCCATTCGCTTCCTTCTCTTTCCAAACCTTCCCCTCCTCTCGACTGCAAGGCTTCCTTTCCTCTAACGGAAAGGATCTACCTACCCCCTCCCCCTCCCCCTCCTTCCTCGTCTCACCCATTTCCTTCTATCTTCCTCGTCTTGCTCTAGCAGCAAAGGGTCTAGCTCCTCCTCTCCCCCTCCTTCCTCCTCGTGCTCTAACGGGGAGGGTCTACCAGGCGCATCCCTCCCTTCATCTCTGTGGACGGGCCCATGTGCTATCACTGGCAGATCTGCTGCGAGCTCAGCCCCGACGGGACTTCGACCATGTGCTGAGACTATCATAGTAGTGCCGCCAATACATCTTAATGATTTGACTTCAATACAAGTCAGTGTAGATCACCTGATACATCTTGCGAGCCCGAAAAAGCCTTGACCATCTAACGCTGCCATGATGATCCCCTTGTTTCAGTGACTGAGGGTCCGGGCAGGCCCGGGCCGGCCCATCATGGACGGTGACCGGGCCCGGGTCCGTCCAGCCGCCGAACGGACAGGTCACTGAGTTTTTGCAACTTTGCCCTGTTTCTCCAAGCGACCAGGCCGAGCAAGCAGACTCATCTCCTTCCTCGTATCTCCTCCCCTCCCTCACCCTCCCCCCTTCTATCCTCCTCTGCTCTCCTCTGCTCCCTCTGCTCCCCTCTGCTGTCCTGTCCTCTGCTCTCCCCTCCTGTCCTGTCCTGTCCTGTCCTGTCCTCTCCCCTCCCCATCTCTTCTCTTCTCTCCTCTCCTCTCCTCTCCCCTCTTCTTCCCCACTCTCGTCTTCTCCCCTCCCCTCCTCTCTTCATTCTTCCATGCCAAAATCTTAAGGGTCTGCTATGGGTCAAGCTTCTTCCAGCGGAAGGGCAGATGGACCGAGCTACTCCTCCCCTGCCTCCTCCACCCCGCACGCTGCCCGCAAGAGGAAATGGTCTAAGAAGGCCCTAGCATGCTGTCGATGCCGCAAGATCGTTCCAGCCGGAAGTCGCTTCCTCCCGGTACGATCATGTCACGACATGGCGGGTGGTGACAAGGATGCGGGAGCAGGTGAGAGGAGAGCAGGACATGGATCTTTGCCTCGACTGCTGCCAGCATGTTCAGTTTCATGTCGACGAGCTGGAAGTCCTTCATCAGGTCGTCGATCCCGCCAGTCTGCTCGAAGGGAGCCTCCAAGAGACGCTGGCGAACTGCTTCGAAGCATACAGCCAGCGACCGCTGCTCAAGCTTGTCAACAGGAGCAAGGACGGTGGCGATGAGGGAGGGTTTTCATGTAAGGAGCTGACGTACAGGAACGTGTTCATTCGGTGTGTTGAATACAGAAACTTCTTCTCAGTGCAGGTTTAGTTGCTTTCCACTTTCTTGTCTTTTTCTTCTCATCTGAATTTTAGTTCTTGCAAACTGGGGGAGGGAAAGTTGGAATAGTTTGCATGGAAAGACACTCTGCCAGGGATCTTGTTGCTTGCGTGATGTCGTGTATCTTCACCAACATCCCGGTTGTCACACTGGAATATGAAGATCAGCATGATGTGAGATTTTGTTGCATTTGTCTGTTGTGTTGCATGGATTTCACTCACGCGATGATGTTTCAAGTGGGTCTTTGCGATGTCAAGAAGTGGAGTGAGTGCTGTTCTGATCGACTCGAACAAGATGAGGCAGCTGGTAACTTGTGATGAAGAGGAAGGCGGGAGAAGTGCAGGACGAGGACGAGGACGAGGACGAGGACGAGAAGGACGAAGAGAAGCAAGTCAGAGATAGAACATTGGAAAGGAAGTGAAATGGCAAGAAGGAAGACGGAGGAGCAGGCGGAGGAAGCAAAGGAGCAAATGATGATGATAGTAAACAAAGAAGCAGAAACGAGAAAACGAAGGATTGGAGTGGAGCATGTCAATGACGACAATGACGATGATTTCAATGATGACGAGTTTTGCAAAGGTTGAAGGGATAGCGATGCATGAACTCGAGCATACCAGCAAGAGGTGGAGGAGACTGAAAGACATCATGATAGCGGGGGGGATAAACGCCTTCATCTCCTCCTTGTCTTCGTTGGTCGACATGGACTCGATGCTGCTCAAGCTTGAAGGCGAGGACAGAGACTTCCCTGTTGAGTTCACCATCAACGTCAGGAAATGCTCCGACATTCTGGTGCAGCTGACGCTGCAATGGCGGTTCCTCCATCGACCCAGCGCTTATGATGTGGAGAAGTACGAGCTGAAAGGCAGTCTGCATGAGAGGATCTTGTTTGTGCACGTAGTCCCGCACGAGCGTGCGAAGGTTGAGATGACTTGGACTCTGGAATACCTGCGGGGCATGAACGAAGTGGGGGATGGGATCGCGACGCAGGTGGCAGCTAGATCGTCGTCATCGGAGAGAAGGGAGGAGGAGGAGGAGGACAGCCACAGGGGCACGAGCTTGCTCCGCTCTCAAGTGCTCGCGCTACTTGCTCAGTGTCCAGCGACGGGAAGACAACCGAAGGTCAAGCGAGGAGGAGGAGGAGGAGGAGGAGGAGGAGGAGGCGGAGGAGGAGGAGGGTAGGGATGAGGACAATTATGGGGAGCAGGGGTTTAAGGGAGAGGAGGAGGGATGGAACGGAGAAGAAAGCAGTATGAGCAGGGGGGAGGAGAGCGGAGGTTTTTGTGTTGAATTTGAGGTACTAGCAGGTGACAGTGGTGGAGGGCAATCTCTGCTGCGATGAGAGTTTTGCTCCTCTTGTTGTCAACATTTTCATGGGCGGGTGTGTTGGAGTAGCGGACGATAGCGATCTCCTCCCAAGTTTGCTCTTTTTGCGGCCAACACATCTTTTGCTGTCGGAGAGAACTTGGGAGAAGCTGATGGAGAAGGTGAGGGAGGAAGTGATTTTGACTCGATGTCTTGATGCTGCAAACAGGGTGTACATAACGGAGGAGGAGGAGGAGGAGGAGGAGGAGGAGGAGGAGGAGGAGGAGGAATGGAAAACTTAACGAGGGTCTGCACCGCGACGGTGAGATTTGTTTTATGATGCTCGTGGGGGTTGTGAAATCCGGGAGCAGATCTTGGGCAAGAAGGCAAGAAGTGAAGATGTGAAGAACAAAGTTGAGTCGCTCTGCAGACCTGATCGACTTTAAGAAGACAGTGAGGGTTCAACTTTCAGATTCATTGCAATCAAAAGAATACACGTGTAAATCAACGGGTTGTGCCGATGTTGTTGTGTTGTGAGAAGAGAGAGGATGTGTCCACATATCAACACTCCTCGGCGTTGCTCCTGCCGCTCTCCCCTCTTGCTCACAGCAGAGTGGTCTGTTCAGTGACAAGCGACGTCGATCCGATCCCCCTCCTACCGCTTTCATGAAGACCTGCAAGGAAATGTCATGACAAGTCAAGAACAGACTGGTCGGTCTACCAGGGTTGTAGTTTGCATTCCAGTATTTGATAGCAAACACAGGAAACGAGGTGGATATCACAACGAGCTGCAATGAAAGTCAGGGAAGATACGCAGGAGAGGCGGTTGCTTCACAGGAAGTGCGAGCTGGCTGGCCGGGGCCCGGAAGGAGTTTGACAAGGAGTGGAAGTCGACCAGGGATCGAGCCGCCAGGGTCTGATCACAGAGGTAGTAGAGGAGGAAGGAGCCGAAAAGACCGAAGGACATGGCAAGAACCTGCGGGGACGATGAGCAGGATACGGTTGAGACGGCAGGAGAACGAGGAGGAGGAGGAGGAGGAGGAGGAGGAGGAGGAGGAGGAGGAGGAGGAGGAGGAGGAGGAGAAGGAGGAGGAGGAGGAGGAAGGGAAGGGGGGGGGCGACGAGGCGAGGCGGGC